ACACACACACACACACACACACACACACACACACACACATACTTACCCTGCATTGGCTGCAATGAAATTTCCACTACACTACCGATATGGAAATAATAATTATTCTTCTAGAAAAATAAAGCAGGAACCTTTAATAAGCAAGACCAGATTATGAACACCTGGCTTTCTGCGCTGACATCTGGAACTGAAACACTTAACTGAATGCTACATATTGGCACAGACCACTGTTATCTGAAGGCAGGAAAAACGGAAATAAGAACGGTAGGAAGCAGCAGTCTAGAGTGCTGGAGTCTATTTTCCACCCTAATTCCAGCCAGAGCCTGAGTAGGGGGTCTCATGGAAAGTCATCAAGGCAGGGCTGGATCTGACTCCAAAAGCTGTGTTCTGCCCTCTGCCCAGTGGATGACTTCTGTGTTCTGTTCTTTCCTGGAGTTTCAGGGAACCTGCAGGGTGGTCCAGCATACCTCCAGTTTCGGTCACATGCATCCTGCCCCTGGGAAGCCTTTCCAAGTCTCATCCTGGCTCTTGAAGCTGTCTGCCTCTGCCTGTGCTCTTCATTTCTCCCCAGGCAACATCATCAACAGGAAACCAAGTGCTAGGATCATGGGATTTATACATTACCCAGAAATCCCCTGGAACTGCCAGGAAAGCTATTTCTCTTAGCAATGTGATTCACAATGTGTCCACAGAATAGAAGCACATTCTAGACCTAGAGGCAGCAGGCCATGAGGGCAAACAGGTTTCTGCCAGAAATAGTACGGAGACTGCATTGAAAAGATCCAAAATAGGTTGTTTGTTACTGTCCTAACCGAGTCCAGTGAGAAATAACCAAACTGCATTCGCTTTCTTATTACGCATGGATCTAGTCAGAGCTTGTGCTCTAGAAAAACTGAGGCCCCAAACAAGCCTCTTACAGTATTTATAGTTTCACAGTAACATGGCTTTAACATGGGTAGGCTCATGCCTATGTGACCCTTACCAGATGATCCTTACAGTCACAAAAAGGGAAAATCCCTGTGTGCAGCACAAGTGAGAATTTATGAACAAGCAACTAAGACACCTCTTTAGCAATCAAGATGCGTCTCGGGCAGTTGCTCCCTTGAGATAATTGCAAGAGAGCCATTTCTCAAGGCAGTGTTGCTCAAGGTCAGTGGTAATATGGCTTTGTGGTTAGGTTCATCTTGTGATAGACCAAGGCTGAGGTCAGAATGAAAAGCTTCCTTTCAAACACAACTTAAGTAGAAATGTTTAAGACTGCTTCCTTAAAACACTATTACTTTTACAAAGCTCTAGCTGTTAATTCTATGTAAGTAGGCACATCAGAATACACGAAACCCTTAGAGGCATCTATTTGTTAGTACTTATTCTGCTTTGATTAATCGGGCATGATGAGCACTAAGGCTCGTGTTTGGTTAAGTCTCCCTTATCACAGGGATCTTGATTGGGTTCATTTTCTCTGCTACCTGAAGCATTAAAAGTCAGGAAGAATCTCAGACCTAGCCGCAGCAAC